CACTCCAGCCTGTGCAACAGAGTGAGACACTGCTTAAAAAAAAATTTACTTGAGACAAACAGAATCGTCTACTACAAAATACACTGCTAACTTGTTTTCCTACCTATAACGATTTCCTACCTAACTATTCAATCAATTACAGATATAATATGTAAGTGAAGGCATAGTTTTGACTACAAATGCTTCTCTTAAGATTGTTGAGAGTTTCTTAGTCATTGAGAGTTAATCCTAGAGTTTGATTTTCTTTTTCATTCTACCTCTTTGCCTTTTGCACTTCTGCCTACATTTATGCGTAAGAAAAAAATAATTCTGGGGTTTAACTGTCAGCCTCTCTGCACATTGGGATGGTTTGTTTCCTATCCTTTAAGAAAGTCCTTAAATAATAGCTCCACCATGTCTTAGCACTATGATCTTGGCCACATTACCAACCTCTCTGAGTCTCAGTTCCTCAAGTATAAAGTGGATTTAAATTGTATGCAATAGGTGTATTAGTGTTCTCATGTTGCTAATAAAGACATACCTGAGACTAATTTAGGAAGGAGGTTTAATTGATTCACAGTGCCACACAGCTGGGGAGGCCTCATAATAATGGCTGAAGGCAAATATAGAGGAAAGTCATATCTTAAATGGTGGCAGGCAAAAGAGCAGGTGCAGGGGAACTCCCCTTTATACAACCATCAGATCTTGTGAGACGTAGTCACTATCATGAGAACAGCACAGGAAAGACCTGCCACCATGACTTAATTACCTCCCACTGGGTCCCTCCCACAACATATGGGAATTATGGAAGCTACAATTCAAGATGAGATTTGGGTAGGGAAACAGTCAAACCATACCATTCTATCCCTGGCCCTTCTCAAATCTCATGTCCTCCCATTTCAAAACCAGTCATGCCTCCCAACAGTCCCCCAAAGTCTTAACTCATTTCAGCATTAATTCAAAAGTCCACTGTCCAAAGTCTCATCTGAGAAAAGGTAAGTTCCCTCCACCTACAAGCCTGTAAAATCAAAAGCAAGTTAGTTACTTCCTAGCTACAGTGGAGGTACAGGCATTAGGTAAATACACCCATTCCAAATGGGAGAAATTGGCCAAAATGAAGCAGCTACCGGCCCCATGCAAGTTCAAAATCCTGCAGGACAGTCAAATCTTAAAGCTACAAAATGATCTCCTTTGACTCCATGTCTCACATTCAGGTCATTCTAATGAAAGAGGTGAGTTCCAGTGGTCTTGGCCAGTTCCATCCCTGTAGCTTTGCAGGGTACAGCCTCCCTCCTGGCTGCTTTCACAGAGTGGTATCAAGTGTCTGTGGCTTTTCCAGGCTCATGGTACAAGCTGTCAGTGGGTCTACCATTCTGGGCTCTGGAAGAAGGTGGTCCTCTTCTCACAGCTCCACTTGGTGGTACCCCAGTAGGAACTCTGTGTGGGGGCTCCAACCACACATTTCCCTTCTGTACTGTTCTAGCAGATGTTCTCTATGAAGGCCACACTCCTTCTGCCTGGAAATCCAGGCATTTTCATACATCCTCTGAAATCTAGATGGAGGTTCCCAAACCTCAATTCTTGACTTTTGTGCATCTGCAGGCCCAATACCATATGGAAGCTGCCCAGGCTTGGGGCTTGCACCTTCTGAAGCCATGGCCTAAGCTATATCTTGGCCCCTTTTAGCCATGGAGTCTGCATTCAACAGGGAGGCTCTGGGCCCAGCACATGAAACCATTTTTCCCTCCTAGGTCTCTAGGTCTGTGATGGGTGTGGCTGCCATGAAGGTTTCTGACATGTCCTGAAGACATTTTGCTGGTTTTGGCAATTAACATTTGGCTCCTCTTATGCACATTTCTGCAGCCAGCTTGAATTTCTCCCCAGAAAATGGGTTTTTCTTTTCTACTGCATCATCAGGCTGCAAATTTTCCAAATTTTTATGCTCTGTCACCTCTTGAATGCTTTGCTGCTTAAAAATTTCTTCTACCAGATAACCCTAAATCATGTCTCTCAAGTTCAAAGTACCACAGTTCTCTAGGGCAGGGGCAAAATACCAGCAGTCTCTTTGCATAGGAAGAGAGACCTTTACTCCAGTTTCCAACAAGTTCCTCATCTCCATCTGAGACCACATCAGCCTGGACTTTATTGTTCATATCACTATCAGCATTTTGGTCAATGCCATTCAACAAGTCTCTAGGAAGTTCTGAACTTTCACATCTTCCTGTCTTCTGAACCCTCCAAGTCTCTCGGAAGTTCCAAACTTTCCTACATTTTTCTGTCTTCTTCTGAGCCCTTTAAACTGTTCCAACCTCTACCTGTTACCCAGCTCCAAAGTCGCTTCCACATTTTCAGGTATCTTTACAGCAGTGCCCTACTACCCTGTAACCAACTGGACTATATTAGTTTGTTCTCACACTGTTAATAAAGACCTGCCTAAGACTGGGAAATTCATATAGGAAAGAGGTTTAATTGACTCAGTTCCGTATGGCCAGGGAGGCCTCACAATTATGACTGAAAGTGAATGAAGAAGAGCAAAGTCATGTCTTAGATGGTGGCAAGCAAGAGTGCTTGTATAAGGGAACTCTCCTTTATAAAACCAATAGATCTTGTGAGACTTATTCACTATCACCAGAACAGCATGGGAAAGACCCACCCCCATGATTCAATTACCACCCACCAAGTTCCTCCCACAACATGTGGGAATTAGGGGAGCTATAATTCAGGATGAGATTTAGGTGGGGACACAGCCAAACCATATCAATAGGGCTGTTGTGAGGAAGATTAAACAAGTAAATATACAAAATGGGTTTAGTCCAGTGCCTAATACAAAGTAAACATTAAATATACATTATTATGAATTATTATTATAATTGGAGAGGGACTGACTTCCTCATAAAGTGTTAAAAAGAGATCAAGAAACACAACACACACTTAAGAGACTTTTAGGGGTTGACAAGGAGAAGCACAGATATTTTAAAATATAAGTTCCTTACTTAATAATAGCTAACCTGTATTGATCACTTATTATATGCCAATTATGTGCCAGGCATTGGACTATGCACATTATATACATAATCTCATTTAATCTTAACTGTAACTGCAAATAACTAAAATGTACTACAGAGAAATTAAGTAATTTCTCCAAACTCCCCTTTAGAAGAAATTGAGCCTGGATTTACAATACAAACTGATCTGCAAATATATATTTATAGTATTATTTTCCAAAATTATTCCATGTACCATGACCATTGAAACATGAAGTTGCTCATTGTGCTATGTGCCATGACATTTAAAATGAGAAGTTATTGTCTATGACCATACCACCCTGAACATGCCCCACCTCATCTGAAATGAGAAGTTATTTAAGTTTCAGCATTCCGGGTTTCATGAACAAGTAAAATGGAAGAAAGGGCAGGGGTGGTGGAACTTGACATAAGACAGGTGATTTTTAAATCAACAACCTCTTTTTAAATTGAATAAACACAGTTTTAGGGGTAAAAAAATCACCAAATATTGCTGTTGATCTTTTTCTTTTGCTAAGGATTGATACAAACTTCATCATATATCAAATGAACTAAATAATAGGTCCAGGAACTAGAATTTGGGTTTTCTGACTCCTTGGCAAAAGCCTTTTTTTTTACATTCTTTAAAAAGTTAGTTTAATTGACAAATAAAAATTGCATATATTTACGGAGCACAGCGTATTTTAAAATACATATACATTGTATAATGAATAAGTCACACTGATTAAGATATGCATTACCTGGCATAATTTTTTGCGGTAGTGAGATACTACTATTTTCATGAGATACTACTATGTTCCTCTGGGTTACCCACTACTTAAATGTAGTTCAAGTCTACATAACCTCCCTTTCTCTTATTTTTATTTTATTTTATTTTTGTTTTAGCAGTCTTTTTTTGCCTTTAAACCTTTCCAGAATAGAATTGTATGTAGTTATGCCAATGCTGCTTAACTTTAGGACGTTACAAGTGAAGGCTGATTAGGTAATCTATACAAATCAAAATAGTATAATAAAAATACATTTTTTAAAAATTACACTAATTGTAGTTCTTGTCCAAGTTTGTTCTACATTTAATTATTCCATTTTCTGTATTCCCACTCTGTTTATTTCTCACATAATATTAAGATGGAGATTCAACTGGATTACTGTGTTTCATTGTGATTTACCTGTTTACATGTCTCTGAGTAGACTATGAGCCCCTTGAGGAAAGGCACCTTGTCTATACATGTTTGATGTACAGCTCCTGGTAGGCAGTATGACCTAAAGTTATTGAATAAAGGAATGGAATTTATAGAAATAATCTGGAACATGTATCAAATTTATAATAACACTCAATTTGTGTATGTATATTACACAATATTCATCCATATACATCTCCATATTATATATAGAGTTCCATGCAGTTCACTACTGTTTTCAAAATGATGTTCAAACGCTATTCAAACAATTCTAAATGACATAAACACCATGAAATGTTACACAAATCCATTTTTAAATAGCATTATTGTATAATAACCTGTAAACTAGAGTTACTGCACACACACACACACACACACACGCACGCCCCACAAATTCTACTTAACAAGCTATTTACCACAAAGTAATTCTAAGACCTTATATACACTGCCTGATGTAAAAGTCTGGAGATCGGAGCCAGGCAAAAATATCTGCATTTCGGTTGTCTAGCACTACCTGAGTGACTTCGGCTGCTTCTTTCTGAAATTGAACTTTCTGCGATGTGGAGACATTTAATACCACGCTTAGGGAACGGGTTTAAGGGCTAGGGGTAATAATGTATGTGAAGGGCTGATGAATGTTAGCAACCACACTCTCTAGTCTCTCTGGAGTTCCTTCCTCGGTTGCAAACTAAGTCAAGGTTTTTTGTTTGTTTGTTTGTTTTACACATTATGAGTCTTTTATAGTCAGGAAAACTAGACTAATCTCAACTTTGGCAATTCAGAGAGTCGGAATAACATAGTAGAGACAAAAAAAAATTACCTCTGTAACTCGGAAAAAGCGCTAAACCCGCAGGAAGCGCTGGGCCGACCTCCAGTATCCCAGCATTCTTCGCGCGACTCCCGTAGTTCTTTCCCCGAGTCTCTATGGTAGCGTCAGCCTCTGAGGCGGTAGCGACGGTGGCATTTCCTTGAGGAAGCGTGAGGATTTCAACTTTCCTGCTGATCTGGGAGGTATTGGGCGCGGAGGGTCGCGATGTCAGAGAAAAAGCAGCCGGTAGACTTAGGTCTCTTAGAGGAAGACGACGAGTTTGAAGAGTTCCCTGCTGAAGGTAACCTCTGGGCCCCGGCTTCTGTCCAGCGCGGACAGTGATTCAGGCCTCCGTGTGGAAGCGGCTTGGGCGCTCGGGCCGGCTTGGTGCACCGGCTGGAAGTTTGGACCCCCGGGGCGGGCAGTGGAGGCGCTGAGGCTCACCCCTCAGTGGTGCCCTGGCTTCGGGTTTGGGGTGTCGCGCTGGGACTCACTGGTGAGGCCCAATGGCCTCGGCCTCCTCACTGGGAGGAGCCGCCGTGAGTCCAGACCCATACCCCCGTGTCTGGGATAGTTGGTGCCTTTGCTGTTCCTCTGGGTTACCCACCACTTAAGTGTAGTACAAGTCTACATAACCTCTCTTTCTCTTATTTTTATTTTATTTTATTTTTGTTTTAGCAGTCTTTTTTTGCCTTTAAACCTTTCCAGAATAGAATTGTCTATAGTACGCCAATGCAGCTTAACTTTAGGACGTTACAAGTGAAGGCTGATTAAGTAGGATAGTAGGATAAGATGTTGGGTTCTTAATACACGTTACTGCCTTACCCTGTTCCTCACCATTTTGATCACTTAACTGTGAACTAACTTAAAGCTTTATAAGACCCTAAAACTTGCCGGGTATGATGGCTCACGACTGTAATCCCAGCACTTTAGGAGGGCGAGGCAGGAAGATCACATGAGGTCAGGAGTTCAAGACCAGCCTGGGCAACATAGCGAGACCCTGTCTCTACAAAAATAAAATATTTTTAAAAAGAACCTAAGTCTTATACATCTTTTTTTAGCTTAAAAACTAAAGGCCTTTAGTTTTTTCATTGTAGGTAATAGCAAATTGCTAGCATTTATTGAGTGGCTGCTGTTTTTAAGAACTTGTCTAAGTGCTTTACTTGTAATAGCATATTCCACTTTCATAAATACAGGAAGTAGGCTCTGGTATTGCCATTCTTCAGGTAAACTGAAGTGTGGAATGGTTAAGAGACGTTCCTCAAGTCTCACAACTAGTTAGAAAGAATAGAAGTGAAATTGGGACACCTGGCCTGATTGACACCAAAGCTCTTAACTTTAGCTGTACTGCTTCTTTTTGTGAGATCACTGTTACCAGTTAGGTTTTCAAAATAGGCTGCTTTATTGGTTAATTGTTATGAGTAGATTTGTAAATATTTACCTTATAAGAAAAGGAGATAACTTTCTAAAGGTGGTAGAAAGAGAATTGTGGTTAATGGTGTACACATCCTGTTGCATCAAGTAATTACTACTTCACTAAGATTGTCCCAAGTTGTGTACCCTATCATGATCCTCTTGTGCATAAAACCACATAGCTGGAACATTTGTTCTATTTATTTATAGTGTACTTTTATTTTGTTTAGTGGAAGAGAACATTAGTGTACATGTTACACAAACTCATAAACTAACCCAAAGCGCATTTCTTTTCAGTTCTGGAATTTATTATCTGTTGTAGGCAGTCTTAGTTTTTTTGTTTTGGTAGTGGATTTATCTGTTCAGTCATGTTTTCTTTACGTCACTTTCAAGTTGCTTCATAATCTGCCAACATAGAGCTATGTAGTAGAAAGCTGGCCTATTGCAGGTAGAATCTACTTCTGACTCTAACTTCATACTTCAAATAGCATTCTTCATTATCATATACAGATTGGAATGTTAGGCACTTATTTACCTTATATAATCTATCACTATCACCTTGAGAAAATGGAGGCTTAGAGACAAAAAGAAAAAAAAGCAATACCACGATTTGCCATTATGTCCAAGCCAGGATCTGAAAGAGCTGAGTCCCTGATCCAAACTTTATCCCTAACATTTAGCAAAGTGCCTGACACATAGTAGGTGGTCAATAAATGCTGGCTGAGTGAACGAACCTGCATTTAAAATGAGTAGTTAGTTGAGAATTGATTGCTTAAAAACGATATAGAGATAATTATATGCCTGATGCTACAGTTTATTTTTTTTCAGCAATTTTAATCAGCTTTTGCAGAGTGTAGTTTGTTCTTGTTCCAAGTTTATGTTGTGAGCAGCAATTTTTCAAAGTGTCAGTAGTTACATAGCAGTGACACAAAACAAAAAGGTAAAAGGAAAAGCAAAGAAAATATTTTTTCTAAAGACAAAGGACTCACAACAGACTGGTTTATTAACATTAAGTAATTCACCGTTTATGGGTCTCCTTACAGAATATTTGTTGTCTTCGGGTATAAATGTGTAGAACCTAATTCATTCAGCAAATTTTCCATCTTAGAATGAGAAACATTGTTAATGCCTTTATTTTGTTCAACTTTCTCCTGTTCTCTGGTTTATGATTTGGATAAGTTTTTCTTAATTTGAATTAGTGAAAAAGTCAGCCTACAAGCTGAAACCACTCAATATTTACTCATGAAAATTGTTCTAATAAATAATAAAACCAAAAGAAAAACAAACTTGGAAAAATATCACCAAAGAATTATTTCTTTTCTGAGAATCTTAACATTTCTGTCATGTTTTAGCCTTAGTCAAGGCTTAGAGTCTGTTGCTACTCAAAATGTGATCCATGAAACAGCAGACTAGGCATTGCCTGGGATCAGATTGAAATCACAGCATCTCATCATTCCTTAACCTAGACCTGCTTAATTAGCATGAGCTTTACGAAGATTCCTAAGAGGTTTGTTTTGCACATTAAAGTTTGAAAATAATTACTTTAAAACAGTGACCTATTTTGAATCTTTTGGTATTTGAGTTTTCACTTCAATTATTAATGCCCTGATTTACTTTCAAGTTCTTTCTGTACTTTGGAAAATTATTTTTCTTGTAAATATGTCATTGACAAATTCCTTAACAGATACAAATTAAAATTGCTGTTGTTAAGGCAGCCTATGAACATCTCTGCAGTCTAAAAGAGATCTTACTTTCAAAGGCTTTGTTGAGTCTCAGTGCTCCAGAAAGTGGATTTTATCCACTGTCTTGGGTAACTTGGTAGAGGTTGCCACATGAAAGTCATTATTGATGGTTCGACTAATAGATTGTCCTTCTTTTGGGAGTGGTCTTGTTACATTTAATCTTGTATAAGAATCTGTTTAGTAGGATGTCCACTTAATCATTTTTAAGGAAAGGGAATTTTTATTTTAAAAAGGAAACTAATGTAACATGTTTTCATGGAGGCCTCATTGTTTCTCTCAATAGCCCTTCAGTGTAAAGTGTAACATCTGGAAGGAGTCTCTGAAGGTACAAATACTCCTTTTATTTTTAACCCTTTCTGTAGCCTATGAATCTGTGCTACTTTGGCAGTTCCTCACAATTTATTCCAATTGGTGGGTGTGTAATCTACTGGTTATTAAGCAGGAGCTGTTAAAAAATCATGTTTAGGATCTTTATGATATACAGTCTTCAACTTCTTGACTACTTAAACTGATTGTCAACAGCCTTTATTAGGAAAACATTCAGAATCCTGGGTGTGATTGATTTTAATATAATTTTGGAAGTTTTGAAATGGTTGGAATTTTAAGACCAGAGAGCAACTTAAAAGTCTAGAGAAGATTTCATTTCTCAACTCATAGTATGTTTAGGTTAGTGGTAATAGAGTCAAAAATTGAAGTAGTCTATAATTTATTTAAAACTTTGATTACTTTTTCGTATCAAATTATTGAAAGAGTTTTAAAAAATATTTTTATTAGTTTCTCTGACAATTAGATGTGGATGGGAGTAAAAGTGGGAAGAAAACAAGTGGTCCTTTAGATTCTTTTATTCTCTTCCTATGCCAGAATTCAGAGGTTTTTTTTTTTTGTTGTTGTTGTTGTTTTGTTTTGTTTTTAAGCGAGAAGCTTTTTTAGAATATTTAGAATGAAATTGAGTTTGCCTGCAGCAGCAATAGCATTTGCAAGAGTGATATTATACTAAGTGTTATACTTTTTCTGTAATAGGTAAAATTGCTATATAGTCTTGAAGAAATCAGGAGCAGAATACTAACCACCTCTCCACCCCGTGGCCCCTTGAGAAATTTTTGGATAAGACACTGTTATCATGGGAATCTGTCTGTTGAGGCAGACAACAGACCAGTGATCCCCTAATGCTGCCAGCATTCTGGAATAACTGAGGCACTATCACTTGTGCCTTAAAAAATATGACATCTTACAGTGGTTCTTAATCAGGGGAGTAATTTTGGATGTTATATTCACTTGATAGGTAGGAGTGTAGAAAAACTACCAGCATTTAGTGGGTAGATGTCAATGATATTAAATTTGTGCCTGCATACAGAAGAACTGCCCTGCGAAAAGTGCTGTTGAGAAATATTTATGTCAACATCACATGCCAACAGGACTAAATATTCAATGGGAGGTTCTTTAGAATCTTAAATGTAGAAGATAGATGTGACCAGTATTGTTACCATCGCACACCATGCTAGTCAGTTTACCTAGTGCCAAAAAGGGCTTTTGCTGTTTTGCATTATTAAATGTAATGCAGTGGACATGACCATCAAACATTTAAATTAGTTACATGGTGGTAGCAAGAGATGGAAAACTCAATGTTACTAAAAATTTTTAAGATAAAGTATGTAATCTATATAATGATTGGCAGAGTACCTGTTGAATATCCATTTTTGATAATTATAGGCAAGAAGAAAGTTTTTGAACCCCAGGATAGAATAAGCATGATGAATCTAGGATTAGGCCCAGGTTGAAATCCAACATACATAAACTTTCAGCTTGTCACCTCATGCTAGTTACTTAACTTCCTCTTTAAAATATTTTTATAGCATATTACATAGGACAATTGTATATGTAACTGATTATAGTAAAAATTTAAACTTATGAGAGTATAAATTAAAAAGTAAAAACAGTTTCCCTCTACCATTCCCCCAAAAAGTTTTTTATATCCCAGTGGTAACCAACATTAAATATTTTTTTCTTTAGTATTCTTCCAGAATGTATATATAAATTGCACTTGTTTGTGTATATCCTTTAATTACACACACAAAAGACATTCTATATATACGGTTTCCTCCTACTTGATTTTTGTTATTAAATGTAGCTCAGGCACGTTTTCACA